CCTTTCTATCTCCACTCCAAGTTGGATCTTAGGTCTCCCTTTTGGGATTTCCAAGGCTTCCTCCAACACAGCACATACCCCACTGCTGTTTAGAACCCCTTTCCTAAACCCTCCTCACGCAGTAAAACCACAAGCCATGTCTGTCCTGTCCTCAGAGCTGAGTGTATCCCCCAAAGCCAGATGAGGTTCCTGATGCACAGAGGCAGACCCTTTCACCCAGGGGCAGGAGTTGAGAAGGAGTTACCACTAAGGATGTAAGTTAAGCATGTAAGTTACCCAAGTCTCTGTTATCTGGACTACTTAGACTCAAGTGCCTGAGGAATGGAAGGTGCAAGGTCACACTGCCCTGGAAGGTTCCCAGAGGCAGATGATGAGATTCCTGTGTGAAAGACTCAGCGACCACACCCCCAGACCCTCAAGGAAGAGGGACCCAGGAAGACAGAGGGGAATGGTTTTCCACACCATGAGTGAGTAGATTTTTTTTTTTTAATTGGGGGCTGGAGTTTTATTAGTTGACACTTCAAAACACCATCAAAAAGAAAGAGCTATGAATAGAGACAGATTTGAAGACGTGAAAACACACACATAGAACACATGTGTGCCTGAATTTACATAGCTGCCTAATCTTAAATGTTCTTTTGATTGGTTTTAATATCGCGTAGTGCCCTCCTGTTAGTTAATAAGTAAAATTTAACTCATATTTGAATAAAAGTCCTGTTTTTACCAATTCAAAAATTATACTTCACTGGATTATGACGCTTCCACCAGGATGCCTGCGCCCACTCATTTGATGAAACCTGGAAGACTTCATTGGCATAGAAGCACAAGTGCAAATGTGTATGTAGAAATGTTATAAATGATCCCAAGCAGCAAATAAATATTCCTGTCTTTACAGTTGTGTGTGTATGCGTTGTTTTGTCTTTTTTTATTTTTTGAGACAGGGTTTCTCTGTATAGCTTTGGCTGTCCTGGAATTCGCTCTATAGATCAGGCTGGATGAACTCACAGAGATCGACCGGTCTTTGCCTCCCGGGTGTTAGGATTAAAGGCATGCACCACCACCATCTGGCTCCTTTCTGTGTGTGTTTATGTGGATTTTGTGTTTCATTTTTATTTGGGGTTCACTTAGCAATAATTATTCCCCATTGATGGCAACAGCAAACATTTGGTTTCCCAGAAGACCCTGGGTGATTTCTGTTAGAGCAGAGCTGGAAGTGGTTGCTTTGATGAGGACAGAAGATAGGGCCCCAAGGTGATAGCTTTGAGAAAGTCCTGCTGGAGGCCAGGGATACTGGGAGAAGGATCTGGTTTCTTGTTGTCTTCTACATGCGCATCTCTTCCTGGGGGCCATGGGTGAGTGTGACAGAAAGCAAGAGGAGGCACCTGAGCTGGGATGATGGCACTGACCGACTAACTCACTCCTCTCCATGCCAAACTCATTTCTGCCACAAGCCACATAAAAGCTCAATGCTGCCCTATTGCCTAGGACCCCTCCTGCAATGTAGGATCTGTCCTCTCTGTCTCTCTCCCACTTATGAGTTTATAATAAAATTCTCTAAACTCTGTTGTCCATGAATCATTCTTGATTTTTTTTTTTTTTTTTTTTTTTTTTTGAGAACAGAACCTGAAAGCCCTCAGCCATAGAGCCAAGCTCTCCCAAAGTTGAGAATGGTCAACGATCTCTTCTCACAGATACCCAAATATTCCCAGCGTAAATCTGTGTATTCCTCAGAGTGAAAAGTGGCAGAGAATCCGGTCACTTGATTTTCTTATCTGTTACCAAGTTTGATATCAAATCAGTTAGAAATCAGGTTCCCGGAAACAATAGCCTTGAAGACAGTCCTTTGAGGCCAGGCTTTCATTAGATTGGCAGTAAGATAGACAACTTAAGACATAAGGTTTTTTGCTGCACTATTTTTCTATGTGTTGACAGTATTAAACAGGTCCTTTGTATGATATGCACCAAAAATATGGGAACCTATCATTATATTAAACAATATAATGTTAGGGGGTCCCCAGAAAAGCATAAGCAAGAGATACAGAGAATGTGTAAGAGGGCAGCTATCATGGGATTGTGGTGGTTTGAATGAGAATGGCCCCCATAGGCTCTTAAATTTAGAAGCCTGGGGGTTGGAACTTTGTTGGTGTCTGTGGCCATGCTGCTGCCAGAGCCATGCTGATCTGAGTGGCCAGTGTTTTCACCTGGAGCCAGGATGTCTTCTAGGCCCAAGCTGCTGCCAAGGGCCATGTCTGGGAACATGGTCCAGCTGCAGTCAGGGTCTATGTTGACGTTTGTGGCCCATGTCATCTCAGCGGGCCATAGAAACCATGCGTGATGAAATCAAGAGGGCCATGCTGAGCCAGCCCACCCTTTGCTGGCCCTGGGAAAGCTGGACACTATAGAAAGAGAGCTGGCCCTGCACTTGGCAGAGATGGCCCCATTCCTCACCACAGAAGAGGGAGAACCAACCCTGATGGCATGGGCCCAGGGGAGCTGGATCTGCCCCTCTCCTAAGACCAGCAGCCTAGGACTGACCAGCTCAGCTACCACCCAGGTCTCCAGCCGGGCCTTGGGTTAGCACCCCCTAACATCTACCCCATCTAGGACCTGTTGGAGCTCATGAAAGGACTGGTCCTGTGGAATGGCACCTGCAGATTTCCATGACTCAGGGCAGCTGTGGGACAACCCAGAGGAGTTTCAGTGAGGATCCTGTGATGGTGTACCAGAAACCAGACCTTGAACCAAACCAATGCACTGCAATGAACATTTGCAAGCATAGCTGATTGGACAAAAGGGTGTACTATATGACACCATGCTGCCAAAGCCACCAGGACAAATGAGAAGGTGTTGGAGAGGCGGGAAAAGATGGAGATGCTAAATTTTTTTGTTCAAATTTTCTTTTGGGGGACAATGCAGAGGTGAGGGGAGGATAAGGCGGGGGGAATGGCAGATGAGCAGTTAGAATATGTGATGTGAAATCCCCCAAAAATCAATAGATAAACATTTTTTTTTTAATCAAATAAAGTTGGGCGGTGGTGGTGCATGCCTTTTAATCCCAGCACTTGGGAGGCAGAGGCAGAGGCAGAGGCAGAGGCAGGTGGATCTCTGTGATTGAGACCAATCTGGTCTACAAAAGCTAGTTCTAGGACAGCCTCCAAAGCTACAAAGAAACCCTATCTCACCGCCCCCCACTCAAAAAAAAAAAAAAAGAAAAAAAGAAAAAAAATCAAAGAAAAAAATCTCCCAAAAGACCAGTGAGTTTGTGTGAGTGTTGGCCACCTACTGTTAGGCATGGTTTACATATCCAGTGAGACTACATTGAGGAAAACTGCACTGGCTCCCTTAGGATGAAAACTAGGCAATTATATCATCTGAAGCTGGTTGAACATCCTATTTTGATTCAGTGTAGTCTGGGGAGGTCTTAAGATCTTTGCCATTTCAAGCAGCCGGAGCTGTACCCGAAATGTAGTTGACTGGCATAGAGCTATTATCCTGGCTCTAAGTGGAGGAAGGCAGTTCCCATTCCACAGCTGTAAATGCTTCTCCAAGAAATCAGGAACTGTAACCAGGTGCTCAGGTGTGTGGCCACCAGTATTGGGAAACTGCTAGCTCACAAAAACTCCCAGAGTGGACTTACACCCGGACACTGTGCTCTCTTGAAACTTTCACCTACAGATCTTTCTTGCTGAAATGATCACGGGTGGGGTCAGTTTTTGAAAAGCCACCCCCACTAGCATGCCTGTTAGCTGGTGACACTTGAAATGGGATCACTTGACAGGCATTATCTTGCAATGTGGTTTCTATTCCCACAGTTTCAAAATTGTATCATTTTCATGAAAAACTGAATCAGTATTAAAAGAAGTTTGCCAGACATCAAACTCACGAAAGTATCCCTGGTCTGGTACAGGGCAGTGTCTGTATCATTTATCACACTGCTACTCTCCTGACAGCATTGGTTTAATTACAAATATGGTCAAATACCACCACTTTAACTCATTTTGTCCTATGAGAACCAAGTTTGAGGGCTGCAGGGATGCATCAGTGGTTAAGAACACTTACTGAATAATCATGAGGACCAGAATTCATGTCCTAGCACTCATACAAACCAGGTGTCCCCTGTACGACTATGCCTCCAGCTCCAAGGGAGTCAGTCAGACAGGCTTACTGACTTACAGTCTAGCTGACAGAACATGAGCCCCAGGTTGTGGGAGAGGCTCTGACTCAAAAGCTTCTGGTCTTTATGTGTGTACTTGTAATACACATGCACTTATATTCACACATATAAATAAAGCCTGTGGTTTACAGAAACAAGACAAAACCCACTTTTCATTGAATTCTCCCATGGAGTCATCTACTCTGAAACAAATGGTACTTCTGTCAAACTTCTCAGCTCTAATGTCCGTCTAACTTTAAGGATCGGACAAACTGCCATCCTTCAGGTGGTGCCCCACTTTCATCCACTGACTCCTTGACAAGGAAGCATCTGGACTTATCACAGAATATGTTTCTGACCTTGCTGTGTCGTGGTTTGCATTTCAGATAATGTCATTTAATTCTACTGACTTCTTTCTTTTATACATGAATGGCAGGGGCAACATCAAGAACCCAAGAGGAATATTTTTATGGGGACTACAAACTTGTACCCAAGAGCAGTGCTTTTTGCTTCAAGTTGTTTTGGTTGTACAGGAAGTTTTCTTGAACACCCAGATCTAGTTCTTGGCTTGAGGTATTGAGGCTAATTACAGACAGTAGGGCGAGGAAACATCTAGACAACATCAGGTCCAATGCTCAGCTTAAAATGAAACCTGGGTCCTATGGGGTCAGGTGGGCCATATGGGGTCAGGTGGGCCATATGGGGTCTGGAAGCAAAGATGGGAACAGGAAAAGGAGTCCTGGTTTCTCTAGGGCTACCCTTCCATGTGATGGCCACAGTGTGGGCTTGAAAGGACCCTACCAAGTGCCCCATCCTCCCACATGCATCACCACACAGAGCCAAGTGATCCACAATCAAGAGAAAAGATATTTAATTATTTCTCAGTCTAATCTCTTAAAGCGCTCAAAGTGTTTTCACAAGTGCAAGGGGAGGGATTGTTCTCAGCCAACATTTACCAGTGATTCCGACACACGCAAAGAAACTGCCAATCACGGTGCTTTATACTTACTTTAATTTCTGCACTGAAAAAGAAAAAAAAAAGGTAAAAACATGACAAGTTACAGTGACATCATCTTGTCCTTAATCTCTGCATTGGGCCCAGGGGAGAAGGAGGGAAAGAGACAGGAAAACATTGAAGCATGGTGATCATGTGACCATAGCCTCAGTCTGGCTATGAAGGGCACTACTCGCCTAGACATGGTACTGTCAGCACGCCAGCTCAGGAACAAGACAGACAACAGTCAAGATACATTAAAAAAAAAAAAACAAAAACAAAACAAACAAAAAAACCCATGATTCCATTCTTAAAATCAAGCACAAAATCTGACAATGAGATCAAGGTTCACATGTCCCCATGGGATCTGGGGATAACTCCAGGGAGACAGCCATGTAACATGACTTACACCACGGAGTAGACACCTGCTCTACCCAGAATGCTGACACAGGGGTCTGCAGAGCAGCTCCTCCTCTCCAGTGCAGCTGCATCTTGCATGGGAAAGGAGAGCCGTGGCCTGCTCCCTACCCAGCTTCCTGATAAGCTGCAAGAGCCACAGGGGCTGGGGTCTGTGCTTTGGAGGCTGCTGCCTCTGGAATGTTCCACGCTCTCACGGTCTGGTGGGCTGTAAGTTTTCAGGTACGCTCCACATGCTGTTTAAGTGCTTGCTTTATTTCTCATGTGCAAACTGTTACTGTCTAAAGCTTTCAGAAGGACGCGTACAGACATAGACTCCCTGTAGAGAGGAGGGTATTCGCAGGCCCTGCTCACTCCCGGGACAGGCGGGAAGGGGAGCGTTACAGAAATAGTTAAGAGAAGGGTGCTCTGAGGCAGTTAAAAATCTAGTCCCTGATTCGGTCCGTGGGGTGAGCGGCGTCCTCAGTAGGTGATTGTCCACTCCTTCACAGAGGCGTCATGGGAAGTGGTGACCAATGTGTGCTCATCCAGCCAGGCCAGGCTGCTGACATGGTGCAGCCGGTGAGCATCTGGGAAAAAGAGTGCAATTTGAGGAAACAGGCTCACCTTGCCTCTCCCTATATTTGAGTAAGAAGAGAACCACAGGGCTATAGTTGTCAGTGAGAACCAGAAACTATCACAGTGGCAGCTTCACTTTCATAAGGACAAATTTGTGAGGACAGAGCTCAGCCTTGCACCAATTCCAGGCGAACCAATAGTACCTCCAGGCTTCTTACTGCCCACGCCAAGTGGCTCCTCTTAAAAGTCCCAACACTTGATGATTCTCCCTTTTCACACACACAGCAACAGAACAGACAAGATAGAACAGACACAAAGCGGTTCCACAGGATCTACATTTACAGACTCAAACAATTAAACAGGGAAAACAGCCAGCTCCACAATGGCTCTGGCTGTGCTCAACAGACAAATCAGTTATTCTCAGATCAACACAGCACAACAAGTGTTTATATGCCATGTACACTGCTAGCCAAGTAACTGTGGTTTGAAGTGTACCGACATTGTGTCAGTTTATATGCAAATGATGCTATGTATTTCGAACAAAGACCTTGAGGTCTTTGGATTTTGCTGAGGTCCTGTCACTAGTGTCCTATGTAGCACTAAAGTGGAAGAGGTGGGGTATGGACAAGAAAGAGATTGAGGACCTGACTGGTGTCCCCTCCAGAAGTCATACTGGAGCAATGGGACTCAAGCTGTCCTCTCACCTCCATTATTCTTGACTTCAACCATGAGACTGAACCTTTGTGATTCCTTCAGCTCAAACTTCTCATAAAGCTCCAGGGACCTCACAGTTCCAGGAAAGAGGTCCCTGGACAGGATTCCTAGTCCCATGGCCCAGGTAGCTTCTAGTCTAGATCAGCCCCACCTGGGCCTGAGAACTCCAAAGTTTCAGCACTCTCCACGGCAAGGCCAGGTGTGAGCACCTTGTGTTCAGGAGTCTGTGACCACAGCAGACAGATGCCAGTCCCATTCTCGGCACCTCTAGTGCTGACAGAGTAACTTGCCAATCCATTTCATTTGTGAAATCTCTAGATTTCCTTACAAACCAAAATGGCTCCTTGGAAGCAGCTTCTGGGTTCCTCTTCTTTGTCTGCCTTCCATGAACACTGACACAGCAGGATATAGTGGGCCTCCCTAACTTGCAGCTATTGGAGTGGTCTGAGTACAGCTTTAAGATAGGCTAGGATCCCTGTTCCCATAAACACAGAAGGTTGCCACCTCTGTAACAGGGTAGGGGAAGGGGACAGTATAAAAATGGAATATAGCCGTTCCAGTCAGACCACCAGCCATATGTGACTCTGGACCCTAGCATGGAGCTACCAGCAGGATCAGTGTGGTAAGATGATGGATAATCAAAATAATGCTTTAAAAATGTCTCCTTTGAAATTATGGCTACTTGGAAAAGCATGGTTCCCATTATCCTTCTGCTGCCGTCACCATGGTGGGACTGAGCTAACTTGGTGGTTGTGGGCTTAGGC